CGCCCGCCCCGCCGTCATGGCGCGGTTCCGCCCCACCGTGCACACAACTCGGCCCGCCGCGCGCCGCCGCATTGCTAGATGCCGACGCGCATGACGCATGCGCGGTGCCTTATGAGAAACGAAATATTCGCGCCCAGTATGCCCGCTGTCGCGAACGCTCACCTGGTCTTCTTCATACTGCATCCTTAGCTGAGCGAGGAAGCGACTTGGACAATCCCCTTGCGGGAAGCTTCTTTCCCACCCCCGGGCCCCCCCAAGCGCCGCTCTTCCTCTTACTTGCAAAGATACGCCTGCCGCGCTGGGCTCGGTTCTGCTAACTCCTCACGATCGTTACTCGAGCTGGCATCGTCAGATTACTTCGCTTCTATCTCGCGCGAAGCGCGCGAGTTCTGAGCACCCGAGGCCGCTAACTCATTTAAGGCTCAGAACGAACGTTGATCTTGGAGCAAGCAGCCAGGCACCGGCAGCGCCCTTGGCCGAGCTCGCATGGCACCGCCGAGCGCGTGGCGCGTAGGCGCCTGGCCAGCGCAATCAACAGGACAGCGGATCGCTTCCTCCGGATGCGCGCGCAGGAGAGAGGCGAAAGGCGAGGGTGGGCCTCATTGAAAGTTAAAACCGCTCGGCGTGCCTGCGCCAGCCACACTGCGCCCAGCACCTCACACGTGGGCCGGCTTGCCCCACCCCTCGCGCATCTATTTTACGCTACTTTCATTTCCCGACGCCCTGTGGAAGGTGTGTTGATACACTAATGCGTTTGTGGCAAGTCGAATTAATTCTACAAAAATTAACGGTTTGTGATTGTAATGCATTGATCGTGGAATAAAAACTTTTCAATATTCTTACATTTGTTTTAAAAAATATGCAAGCAAAAATTGCACCTCAGGGAAACATTAATATAAGAGTTATCAAGATATAATGTGCACCAAAAACGTTTTTTTAAGTTTAATATTTCAAGTAAATCTAACTACACTATTATTTTCTTATAACATTTTCATATTGAGCGAGAAAATGAGAGTCAGAGTAAGCACCGATCTGAGTGAATCGTAAGGCCTTGGTAAAATCATACATATCAATTTCGTTTGAAAGTAGATGTAGTGTAGTATCCACCCCACTTCGTATTCGAACCATACATTGTCAATTCATGATATTAAGCTTCCGTCATTTATACCTCCACACATTATTGCAACGACAGAGGACAATTCCATCTCCATATAATTTTCTCTCATCACCCAACAATGTGATTGGTAGCCCCTCCAGCGCTGAACCGCGTCCCCAGCGAGCGGGGCGCCCCTTGTTCCCTGCAACGCAGAGCACACACAAACCCTCGCCTCTCAGAGCGCCCACGCACCTGTTATTAATAATCTTCCATCACTCGACTGGGCGAGCGCGAATGACGCTTATCAGTTTCCCCTTAGACCCTGGGCCGAGCTGCGCGGCGGCGGTCGCGTGCGGCAACCGCACTAGCAGCGTGGCAATCCGCTCCTTACAGCTTACCCCTTCTGCCGAGTGCAAGCGCACAATGACACAGTTAATTGGTGACGTAACCGCGAGTTGGCGTCGGGCAGCACAGCGCGCCACAGCCACGGCTTCGCGAGCACAGCTTGACCGTCCTAGCACTCCGCTCCTTAGCACTCATGGAACACCGGAACTCAACAACAGTGGCGCAGCACCCCGGCACTCGACACCTTCTTGCCAGTTTCACGCGCGATCTCCGGACGAACTATTTATCAGAGCGTCTACCCGTCCAAGCTTTCACCCTTATTTAATCTAGTGCAGCTCAATTGAATTTAACCCGAGTTAATACAGTCCCACTTGTGTTCTCGTAAAAAAAACATTTGCCAGTATAACTCCTGTTCCTTTGTTGTATTTGTTCAAGCTATAGCACAGTTAGAACTGAGAACTTGTGCCCAGTTTAATTTAAATTTATATGTTTCTATTGCCAAACTAAATATTCTAATGTTTTGAAAAGAAAATAGTCCAGACTAGATTCTGATCGCGAGCTATCTAGCGAAGAAACTAGCGATTATACACTACGCGAACGCGCTAAAGAATGCCCCTTCGAGCTATCAGGGACACATTAAGCCGAAAGCTTCTTACACGATTAATTCTGTACTGCTATAAAACATAAACACGTTCCCAGATGCCTCTCTGTGGATATATTAGGTGTTTTCTTTCTCTCTCAACTAGATGAACAACGCGTACGTCAATTCGCCTCTTGAAATCCACGATTCTGCATAATCTAAATTAACTCTTACAGAGCGTCAATCTTTCAACATCGTAAAAATCCGGCATATTTTGGTTTCCCCGTTCCTCTCGCCTCCGACATCTCCATGTTTTCTTCCTGGTTTCAGCGTCAGAAAAACCAGCCCACAGCCGTCCGTAGAAGAATCCCCAATATGTAACAGGAACGCAAAGAACGCCTTGCGCAACGCGCCGCGGGATCGACTTATCGACGACTCTTTGACCCTTCAGAATTAATAGATTGGTAATGCATCCGTCACGCATAAGCCCACTAATTTGCTCAACTCACCACCGACATTTTTACGCACACTCTCCTATTTGCTATCGTGGCCCGTGCGTCTTCCCATCCCTACACACTAAACTTGTTTAATATTGTTAGCTACCAGTCCACTTTGTCCAACGACACTGGCCACACACACTCGTCTTTCACGGAGTATTTTACATATTTAGTACTCATATTACCGCTAGTGTGTTGCGTCATTTTCACAAAAAACATAGATCTTTACGTATTCTGATCATATCTACTTCAAATGCAACTTTCTATTAAACCCCCCGACTACTCTTTATCTGCTCATCCTCATTCTCTGCGCATCTCGTGCCACTTTCCACGTACCGCCTCGCTCACACTCGCTGTCTGTTCTCTAGCAGATATGCTCCAGTCAGTGTGGACGAGTGCATCCCTCCACCCGAGAATCCCTTTTATCACCTTTGTAAATAGTCCCACTGAGCAGA